CCGGGGGGGGCCGCCGTGCCATAATTAGCCTGCCAGCCTCCAGAGAGACACGTAGAGATGTTCCCACCCTCCTCAACACTCAGCCTGTTTATTTGGGCACCACGCCGGGGGAGAAGATTTGTCCTTTGTCCCTGGGAGGAGAGGGGCATTAACTGTTTCTTCCCTGAGCTCCATACGCCCTTTCCCCCTGCACCCCTGAGGCACATCTGCGCTGGTGGCCGGGCATGGGGCCAGCGAGTGCATGCGGGCAGGGCGAAACCTGAGCAAGGGCTTGGCAGAGGGGCCGCGGGGGGCCGCCGTGCCATAATTAGCCTGCCAGCCTCCAGAGAGACACGTAGAGATGTTCCCACCCTCCTCCTTACGCAACACTCAGCCTGTTTATTTGGGCACCACGCCGGGGGAGAAGATTTGTCCCTTAATACTGGGAGGAGAGGGGCATTAACTGTTTCTTCCCTGAGCTCCATACGCCCTTTCCCCCTGCACCCCTGAGGCAGCTGGACAACGGCACCTTCCCAGTGCCGGCTGGCGCAGCCCCAGCCCCTGGCCAGGCTCCGCAGCCTGCCCAGAGCCCCCCTCGTGCCCGGCATCGCCCGCGGGATGCAGCCCGCTTCCCGGTGCAGGCCCGGGGTTAAGCATCGGGTGTTAAGCATCATCGGTGTCAATAACAATATTGTTTCTAATTACACCCTTTCTCCAGCAGCTCTCAGCGCTGGAGGCGGAGGTAAACTTGATCCGTTTTATTCCAGCAAGCAGCAATTTGGACACCCAGAGCTGAGCAGGTCAAACAAACACACTCAGCGGAGCGGGTGCTCCCTCGGCCGGGGCTGAGCAGCTGCTGGCACGTGCCCAGAGCTGCCGCAGGTGCCGAAGCCCATGAGCGGCAGGAGCCGGAGCCAGGCAGGAGCTGCAGGCTTGGCTCAGGGTCTGCCTGCAGACCGGGCTGCCCCGGCGAGACACAGCCAGGAGCATGTCACAGCGCCCAGTCAAGCTGGGGTCAGACCTTCGACGGCAGGCACAGCTCGCTCCAGAGCCCTTGTTCAGGCTCTGAGATGCTGGGCTCAGACTGAGGGGGATGGAGCATAGTGGGGCCTGAGCACCTTGTGTGGCCACGGAGCAGCATTCCAGACACAAGAATTAAGACCGCATAAGAGACTGCAACCTTGGGAGCTGGCAGGATCTCTAATGGCATCGCCACCCTATAGAGACCCCAGCTATCATACCTTGCAGATGTGCAGCACCATGCTGGAGCTGACCACAGCCATCCAGCTTTTCTTCTCCCTCCACCCCTCCCAGGTAGGAGCATCGGAGTGGTCCTGCCGGCCCCACAGCCCTGCGACAGTCAGGATCGCCCCGAGAATCCTCCCTCTAGGAAGACCAGGAGACCGAATGGGGTGGCACGGCGCCAGGCAGGATGCTGGCAGGAGCGGCCAGAGGTGCTAAGCTGGTAATACTATCCTGCAGCCGAAACGTGATAAAGGACAGGGGGAGGTTTGTAACGCGTGGGATTAACAAGGTCAGCTCAAGATTTTCTCAGGGTGAAAATCAAAGGGAAAAATATTTGCCTTGTGTGACTCAGTGAGTTCCTGTGCAGCCAGCGGTACCAGCTCACCCCGGCGGAGGGCCTGGCCCGTGGCAATAGCGAAGAAACTGAATCAACGTGAGCTCTCGCCCTCCCGCTGTCCTACCCCACACTGCTGTATTTAATAAGTCAAAGATACTTTTCAGCCGTGATGCTGGGCTCTGCGCTTCACTCAGCTTGGCCAGCACAGCCAGGCTGCCCCTCTGCCTTCACAGGTTTCCATTCACTGATCGAAGCTACGCACAAAAATCGGCAAAACCCCAGCCTGAGGATGCTGATCACCGAACGGAAACCATCCCTACCCTGTCGGCACGTACAGAGGAGAGCGCTGCCCTCGGTATTTGCAGAATTAGGGCCTGACACTCAGCCTAAATCCTTGACTCCCAGCTGCAGTTTGCTTCAGTGCTTCTGAGGTTTAATTACTCCTAACAACTCTTCCACGCTCCGCCATCCCATGTGCTCTAAAAATGCAGCATGCGCTCCATTTTATCTGGCGTAACCAGACTGGTTGAGCTCTGACTGGTTCCAGGTGTGGGAGTCTGGTTAAAGCCCGTGGATTTGCATTGCAAAGTGCCTCTCTGCAGGGCTGACAGATAGCGGCTCCTCTGCAGCTCCCTGCCTGCGAACACGTCCCAGCAGTCCAGGGACAGGCAGCAGCGTCCATCTGCCCCAGCCTGCGGCACCTGGCGCTGGGTGGAATTAAATTCTCTTACTCGACTTGTGATAGTTAAAATAAAGTAGCTTAAAATCTGCAAAGCAGATTTTAAAAAATCAGGTTTTCCTGTTGCAAAGGAGAAGCCCCATTAACCTCGAGCTGGGGTTGAGAGTAACGCAGCGGTTTCAGCCACTTCAAGATGTTAGTCTTAAAAGCAAACGTGATAAACCCCAGAGGTTCAAAGTTACAGGTGACCTTTCAAGAGCTTCAAACATGAAAAATAAAATCATGGCATCAAGCAAAGCCTTACCTCTGCCCTCTAGTGCCACCGGGCAGCAGGTGTGCAGCTGCATCTAGAGTGTGCCAGCGCACACTTTTGCAGGCTACATGTGCCGCGCTTGGACGTGCCTGGTCCCTCTGGCGTGCGGCAGCACCAGCCCCGTGCCGGGCACCGCTCGCTCATTAACAAAGGGTTTGGCGTCATGGCGTGGCACACGGCTGGGCACGGAGCAACGCCGGAGCATCCCGCGGCGCACTGGCACCTCTTGTTCTGCCGTACACAAGCACTGCTGATGCTATTAATTATTTGAATGACTATTCTTTGTTTCCTCGATCACTGCCCCATTATGCCACCTCAACCGACCAGCAGTGAGCCCATTGCGGGTGACACTAATGGGATTTGTGCTTGAAGCACAGTCAGGGGGGAGTGGACGCCGTCCCCTCGCCCTCTGCTTCATTGTCCACCTATTCACAGCAAACATTGATGTTTCTCCTTCAAACCCATCACACGAGAGCTTTTGTTACCGTGTCCCAGCTGCGGCGAGTGTCCACACGCAGGGTCGTGCGGGGCCACAGGGCTCTGTCCAGCCCCAGGGGCTGCGAGCAGCGGGGCCAGGGGACGCGGCAGGTCTGCAAGCCAGCACGTAGAGAGGATTAGGGGCTGTGGCCAGTCCCCCCGTCAGCTAAGGTACATGCTGAAGTCAGCAGCGAGCCTGAGCCTCAGGCGTCCCTCCAGCCGCATGCGGGACAGCAGCAAAGTGCAATCTGCTGCCAGCCATCTGCTGGGACGGGCGGGCTTGCTCCGGCCAGCCTGGCACAGGGCTGCACCATGGTCCTGTGAAGCACTAGCTAGGGCAGTATTCTGCTTGGAGGGTTTTCCACCCCTTGCCGCAGTCGATGTGCATTTTGCAAAGCCCTCCAGAAATGCCGAGTGCTATGGAGAGGGTCCCATGCATGGGCCAGACCCACGGGCAGGGCGCAGGCAGGAGTAACAGCAGCAAAAGCAACTCGGAGAAATCCAGGAAGGACTGGTTTCACCGGGGTGGT